ATATATATATATATTTTTTTATGTATTTATATATGTCTGTATAAGATTGTATATAATATTGTATACACAACAATTTATTGTTCCTTAAAGAATTAATGGTATGGTATGTACACTGGTTTACATAAGGTACCAACGGCTTAGGCCTATATATTGCTTTATTAGGCTAGTGTCATGGCTTTTTGTTTTCATTTTTTTTTTATATATATAACTGAATCCCGTGCTAAGAGCTTGATATTGTACACATTTAAGCTAATCACTCACTCACACTAAATCAATGAGTATGTGCACATTTTTACAATGTTAGTAACACAGACACTCTAATAAATTGTATCATTGTTTACAATGGTCGCGAACATTCTCTGGCATACATTTGATCACACCAACACGCAGAATAAAAAAGTGGCAGAGAAACATAGCAGTTATTAAAACCTAAGACATTGTTAAAATAGTAGGTGGTATCTCTAATTATGTTGCATCTATGTATTTCAAAATACTGCACACCCTGTGTGATTTAGTTCCATTATTTCTGATTAATTACGAGAATGTCGATGCATCATAGAGATAGATACGCAAAAATAGCATTATATTATTAAAAGTATGCATCAGTGTATTAATTTCTCCGAAAATCATTCGCGTTCGGTCCAAGTGGATACTTCTAATTATTGTAATTATTGTACCTATATGTTTAATGGAAACATGTGTAACACACTTTTCCCATTTAAATTGCAATTATAACAATCGCTTTATTTAAGAACATATAAAAGGTTTTTTTATACAATTGCTTGTGACAAGCTCTCTGCACCTTTGTTAACACTTATTAAATCTTTGGTCCTTAACATTATTTTTAAATGATCATTATCACTAATAATTTTACATGCTTAATATTACGTTTACAGCTAACAAATAGATTGTTCACAAGTTGTTGATCTATACATGATAGCAATTTTAAGTTAACTTTTGCTTACAGCTTTGCATATTTTAAAGAAACAATACTAGTCATTGAAAGCAAAATGTGTAGAAAATTAAGCTTGGTTAATTAATTTCGAGGAATATCGGTAAATATTAATTGTTCACAATCACTATCTAGAAATCAACAACTAGTTATGTAACATAGGCCAAGATAAACTGTAGTTTCTAAAATCTCAGCTGAAAAACATTTATAAATATTTATATTAATACAAATAGTTCGTTATGGCAAATATAAAAAGAAAAACAGATCAATTTCTTCTGTGTGGTTCATGGCACTCACTTGTGATACAAATTAAAATACGTGATAGTCATATAAAGGACGAATAGCATATTAAAGAGAGCATTTGCAATNAATACTAAAACTAGCTAGATATATATATATAGAGCATATATGTATAGGATATATTACATTTATGTCATGACTGGATGATATGAAATATTTATAATGGTAACCCATAAAGTCTTATTGCACACGCAATCCTAATACATTAAACAACTATATAATATTCTTAATTAACTTATTTTTCATGTAATATAGCAAATGTGAGCTGATTAATTCCAAAAAGAAAACTACACAAATTATAAATCTGATGTCTTAATATATATATCTCCGTATAATAGAATTACTAATGATTTGATGAATTTAGTAAAATGTACACATGTATGGACTTAAGTAGAATGACCATGAACAGTTACATTAAATAGTTAGCAGTTAGAATCTAATCTTAGACATGTTTACCCAAGATATGACCATTCATTCAAACATTTACATGAACGTTTTATCATTTAAACTGTACAGATCGCCTTTATTAAACCTAATACCACTTTTTTTTAAATAACACTGCAAATAATTCTATTAAAAAATATATACTTTTAGAGATATATTTACAAAATTAATTTGTAACATTTATTCTTCCATTGAAAATTACTATAAATAGAAATTTTTATATATGCCGCGCATTGTATTAAGTTTATTATCTCCGTAATGTGCCAGTTAGGAATATAGAACTGTGATCGTTCAGGGGTTCTCAACCACGTTGACATCCGTAGCATCGACACACACAAGTCTTAGATATCATTTAAAGGTCAACGGAGAATTAATTTCTTACCTATTATTATTTTTCAGCAATTTCGAAATTAATTAGCAAAGTGGAGTTCTTTTTTCAAGAGTTCATACGAAAATTAATTAAGAATTTCTAATATAACATATGTTTTAATATATTTTTATAATTTAAACGACTGGTTTCTAGATAAGATTTTTCCTTAATTTTTAACAAAATTACTAAAATATACGATATAATAAAAATTAAAAAACCAATTCGATTTGTTTTATTTATAAAAAAAATAAATTTTTCTATTTTTAATGTAACTTTCATTTATAATGTACATTAATAATCTCAGTTCTAGAAGCATAGAAATATATCACGTTTGAAATAATGTTATAGCGAATGTGAATAAAATAATGAGTATTAATTAATATATTAAAAATTCCAATATTTGCAGAAATATGTTAATAAGTACTCTGAATTGATGTTTTGAAATATACAAAGAAGAATCTGACTTAAAAAGTATTGTTGCATACGAAATCAAGAGATATTAACGAATTTGAAGCTTAAATGTAGTATTGTAATCAAGGTTGCATGATATGGAAGAACTTTACATAGAAAATTTACGAATATTATAAAAATCATGAAAAATTTGTGTCATTCCTTCGCATACATATATCTTTCAGATATAGCTATTCAAAGAGGATTACATCGAAATCCTCTGAGCTCTCTTTGGTCTTATCCAAGTTAATTTCTATAACACTTTTGGTAAGTTACATGCAGCCATCTGCACATGATAATCCTACGTACATTTTCTTTCAAGGGTGATTCCCTGAGATGCTCAGGCTCAGAGCAACCTTATTTGCTTAGCTATGAATGCAAAGCATCGATAGTATCTATTTATAACATACTTACAAATCATTCAATGTCTGTAGTATCCTCGATAACAGAATCCCAATTGAATTCTGTTGCACTTTGTCTAGAAGGTAGCTCACCAAGATGTTGAAATCGTTGTACAAAATATGGATCGCGATCTCTAAGCCTTTTAAACCTTTGAAATGCAAGATTCTTTGCAAAATCATAAAGTTCTAGATCCAATCTGTTAAGCCTACGCACAGCATCTAACTGTTCTGAAGTAAGGGTAGCCATGGTAGCAGCACTTAATGTTGCATTGTGCTGTTCAAATGCAACAGCAAATCTCATCCCAAATGTCTCCTCAAAAGAATACTGTCCCACCTAGTCAACGTTAAACAATGAAATTTATATGATAAATTGAATGTTATTACAGAGCAACAGAATATATATTCACAATGTGCAATAACTTCAGTAATAACGATCATTTTCAATGAAATCTTTTTTCCCAACTATACTATCAGTCAACGTCACACATGCTCAATCAAAAGTAAACTCTTCTAAATACATATTTTCTAAAATACAAAATATATATAATAAATTAATCAGTTAAAAGAAATAAGAAACGTTAATCTAATCCCTTAACAATTTAAAGAAATTTCGAAGTTCAGCAAAAAGATATTTTTTTAAATAATAAAAATGTATCTTTATAGGAGGAATAAACTATATCGACCAATGCTAATGAAATTATTACCGCAAACCGCTCCGAATACTTTTATTGTATCATTTGAAAACTGATAAGGGTTAAATTGAAAACGGTTGTAAAAATGCCAAGCATGCAGTTTCAAAAGCCGTTGCGCATTGGATCCGATTTCGGTAAGTGGAAACATCGAGATAAGCGTCGTCGCGGCATTTATGTCTACCAATTTTTAAAACCTTACTTCCCACTATACTTGTCACAAAGCTCTATTCAAGTCATTCTGGATATGTTGAAGCAAGTATTAAAAATGCCATAGACACCAAGGACACTAGTGAAATTTATAGAAGAATATTTACGAAACAAGCAACAATTTTGATCCAGATTTCAAACTGAACTATTTAATATCTGACCGAATCAAGATAAACTGTCAAAGAATTAACTAAAATTCGATAATACAATCATTATGTAGCTTGTATTTTATAATTATGATTATAGATTACAAATGTTATGTTAGTTAAATTAAAATGTTTAGTATTGGCAACGTAATATCACGGCATTTTATATATTGCTTGAACGTTCAAAGAAGCGGGATGTTTACGGGATACATACTCATCGTCCGCGCATGGTGGATAAGATAAATATTTACACCAAGAGCTACTTGCTAACAGATGATTTTCTAGTGTATTGTATACCATGTTTATACAGCTGGCGCAAGCGTGTTTAAAAATAAGGTCGAGTGTGTATAAGAATTTTAAATGTAGAAAAAAAATATTAAAAAACACAAAACAAACAAAAACTTCTGGTTCGTAAATGTTACATGCTGTTAATTCATTAGTGAATGGAAATTCTTTAAAACCACTCAAAAAACATTGCATTAATAAAAGGCAATGGAATGACATGCAAATATGTTAGTTTAAAACACACAAAACAAATAAAAACTTCTGGTTTGTAAATGTTACATGCTGTTAATTCATTAATGAATGGAAATTCTTTAAAAACCGATTAAAAAACATTGCATTAATAAAAGGCAATGAAATGACATGCAAATATGTTAGTTTAAAACATTATAAAAAAAAAGAGTTCTTACTTTTTGGTATTCTGTCAACATGAAGAAAGGCATGAATTGCAAATTGTGTTTAGCACTAGCCAACATGAGCCGATCTCTCTCCAAGCTGCTGAGTGTAGAATTGTAACAACCAACAATTGATAGATCAGCCAACATTCTGGTCTGGCGGTTGCTTGCCAAATTATATGGACACGCCATAAACTACATAAACAAAATAGGTCATCAAAATGATTTATGTTAATACTATTATAAATAATATGTCAATACTATTTTAATGATTCTTTTGAAATTATAATTTTTGTTCCAACAAAACAACTGTTATTCTGATTAATAGTTGCGTCTATACGGAGGAGGAAAAGAGGAACTTTGAGATAAGGGAAAATGCTTATCTTCGTGTGTTTCTAAATGTGAAAGCCCTTTAGATAATTTACGTAATACTGTACTCACGAAAGAAGGTTCTGTTCTGATTTTATGAACATATTCGGCAACAGTAATATATTGAAATTACTAAATGGTGTTAAGAATTGCAAAGTAGTATTACCTGTTCAAGGGAGACTCCTTGCCAACTGGATCCAGGGTAACATTGTGGTATATTTGCCTGGCTTCCTCCACACCAGTGACGTGCACCTCTCCAAGTTGCACCTCTTTGCACGTGTCTGAATTCAGACAGATATCGTGCGACAGGGTCTCTTATAATAGTTATATAAAAGTATCTACGCTTTATCCCTTCCCCTTCAATTTTGTTCAATTCGGTATCTACACAACTGGTCAATTCAGTCCAATCTGCGTGCAAACCACATTTCCAACCAGTGGAATACCGTGAAAAAAGCCAGTTTTCGTTACGATTTGGACGGAAACAAAAACAACGTTTGCGTCTTCTTTGACAAGAACATGGTCTCTGCAGGTCCAGATCTCTGACTAAATGTTTCCCAAATAAAGTTCCCCCTGAAAACATGAAATTATAAAACCATTTGTGCAATCTGTGACAGACCTTCTACACAAGAATTTTTTACTACAAGTTTTTTAATGTCATATCTGCCTAGATGTCCGTAATGCATATGCAAATTTCAGATAATTACTAGCGTGGCGACAGATACATTAGACAAGTTTTGTTCGCTACCGATACGCATCTCGATGAAGAAAAGATTATAAGCAGCTTGTACATAGAAAATAAGAAGGAAACAGGCATATGCATGCATAGCATATTAAACAAGACAACATCCCTGAATTGTTCTTTGTCCTCCTAACATAGGGTCTACAGGTCTCACAGTGCCTGATGAATAATGCAAAGATTCAGTTGTACATTGGTCGGAAAGTATGTTATATTGTTTTTACTAAGTCATAGGATTGGCAGGTATTCATCCAAAGAAATCTACGTTTAAATGAAATAGGAGAAAACATGTTTTTGCAGACTACCTAGATTGCATATTACAACGTTGACCTATATTTTTAATTATAAAAACAATCTATCAAGCGAATGTCAATAAAGATACTATTCTGTGGACTCTTTATACTTTTATAAAACAATTTAGAATTTTGTAAACAATTTTGTGAAAGAAAAGACATGATTCATTTGAACTGTTTTCTTATCAGTGTAAACATTGATATTCGATTCGTGTAAAATTGTGTCGTTACGGGAGGATTAAATAACAAATACGAAATAACATTGCACAAAGGTAATATAAATGTTGTTTGCTCAATGAAACAGTTATTTCAGTTATTACAGTCGATCGAAATAAAATCTTTTTCGAGCCACTCGAATCTTTCGTTTGTTACGTAAAAGTCATTGTTTAAATAATAAATTTGTCTGTTCGTATTTGACGAAGTACGCAGTTATTACTTACCAGTCTTCTGAATATGTAGAAAAACGATGACATCGTGCGCATTGATATCAAACTGGAAGGTTTCATTCGTAAACACGTCGTCGTAACCAAGGCTTCCTTGGATGCTTTGTAATCTAAAAGCAGGATGCACCGAAAGCAGGCCATTTTTGTCAAATTCGATGGAGACGGAAGACAGACCGGAGCCAGGGCCAGCGGACAGACTCTCAGATAGTCTTACGGACTCCTTGATCTCGCGATTTGTCAGTGCGCACACATGATCCGGGCAGAAATATCCGAGATAAATGATGCTCGTCAGCGCGAGGAACAGACATATTCCTACAACGCTACGCAGCCGAGTCCTCCGTGTTCGTGACTCCATCGTCGCGTTCCTCTCGCATAAATCGTCCTGTACAAGGACCGAGAGATCGCTAACGACTTCTTCGTTTGACCGTCTGCCCATTATTGTGCCCCATCTTTCTTTTCACCACTGGACGCACCATGCACCGTTCGCCGACACGGCCTCACCAAAACTACGCTGCCAGCGGACGTCGGCCATGACAGATACTTCGGCCCCCCACCACTGTGTACCTCAGTGCGACTCCACGGATGTTGTCCGGCATTTCTGTGATTCCAAGGCAAAAGAACATACATATGTAAGTCATATTCTGGAAAAAAGTTTCAATTTACGTCTTAAGTGAAGTCTACGAGACGATTTGTGCTTGGAAAAGAAGAAGATGCGTTTCAAATAACCTGACGTGTCGTGTAGAAAGGTTAAAGAAAAGTGAGTACATACATACGTGTTTCAGTTTCGAAAGAATTAACGTTGCATACATATTAGTCAAAATGTCTATTGCATGTTTAATGACATTTACGTTTGAAAAATGATGTGTCGATGTTATATTTCGCGAATTAACAGACAATGAAATACATTTTGAACGTTTGCCGCGCTGACTGACAATTCGTGTTATTGCGTAGCGTTTGTTAGAATGTTTTCATACCGTTTGCGGAGAGAATCGTATTTTTAGCATGGTTAAACAATACGTCGTCAGTTCGGTCGGCTAATGCCGCGTTGCCTTAAGTAATTTGATCTTTTTATTGCTTTGTTTAGTGTATATATATAGTATATATATCATTCACGGCTATTGAAACAATTGAAAAAATGATACGAATCATGCCTGGGCAACTGATTGCTCGCGAACCCACCCCCTCGAACCGTTACTCCCTCTACTTTGCTGATTCGTTCAAATCGTAGCGATGAAATGCGTAGTTTTATTCATACATAGATTTTAGAACGAAAAGTAATGCATGCAATGTAAATCCGTAGAAATTATAGAAAAATATAAGTACGCTGCTGTTTTTCTCAACTTATTAGCATTAATGAAACAAGAAGTGAATTTGCAATAAATTCCTACTCTTTCAGTTGCCCAAGCATTATGTAAATTCAGATAAGATATACATTTATGTACATATACTATTTCGCTTAGTAATGATTGTACGGTAGCTCGATTGACGTTTGAAACTTCTAATTATTTTGCCTTACAATAATAGATTTGTTTTGTAACAGCCTCTTAAACAGGTTAGAGAAGAAGGGCCAACAAGGTTTATTTAAAAGTGTGAAGTTACGGAGTCGGTTCAGCGTAAATATCTCTGTGTGCCTGTGCAAGCTCTCTTGGCGCATCTATTTTGGGCGACGATTTTTTTCGTTACAGCAAGACGAGATTTAGCGAAAATTTCGTGGCTCGATGTACCGAATATCTACTGGAACAATTAGTATACAGTATTTTAATTATAACTAATTTCGTAGTACGCTGTTTCTAACAATTTAACACCACGTATGTGGAAAGACTCATCGGTAACACATGACTGATAACAAACATGATTCATTAAGTCTATGTGTACGCAATGTTGTCATTGTAAACACGGCAAATGAGGATTAGAATTATCACCGAGCAAGGCGGTATTTGTCTTGGATGCTCGTTTAATTCAATGCAGAGCGTATAAAACAATATGATAGTTTGATAGTGTTAGTTTTCAACTTACCGCCATACAACATACTATTACCCTGAAGTTGGCAACGGTCCATAGAAACGTATTGAATTTTACAAAATGTCAGATCGAAAGTAGCGCACTATAACCTTGTTTCTTCTGTCAAAATTTGTGTACTGTATTCCAAAACAATTGCATATTCTTATCAAGACTATTATTTATACTTTTTGATCGTTTATATCCAAGTTTCATCGTTCGAGCATCTGTATCCTCCCATGTGAGTAATATATACTGTATACTTAAATTTATTACAATTTGTAACAGGCATGATTTGTCTGTCAATTTGAACTGTTTTATTAATTTATATGTTTTAACTTATAACTTAATTTATATGTTTTGAATTTTTATTTGATGCGTTACTTGAAAAAGGAAACATTTATGTGTTACCAATTATAAAATAATGAGAAGTAGATTAAAATAAGTTCGAGTGCATAAAATTAGATGATCTATTTTCTCTATTAATAGTTTCATTAGGTGTAATATGTCCTTGTAGATAAACATTTACTAATGTTTTTGTAGCTAATTTGCAAATAATATATGGAAATATATGCAAATGTGAATTACTATATTTTTTTTAACAATATAGAATGACAACTGTTGAATTACTAGAAAGTAGAATAACAGAGTTGGAGAAGCGTGTATTTGGATATAAGGAAGCAAGTGGAAATAATAATACACCTCCGGAGAATCCTGTGATTCATAGCCTTCTAGATGTGAACACATTGGTCTCGTCCGCTATGTCAGGACGTAAAAACGCTAACATGGTAATACAGCGGTTACCAGAATTGAATCGTTACTTAGATCCAGTAGCCGACAGTACGGAGTTACCTATAGAAGCTAAGCTACAGTTACTGCTCACAATGGCACCAGAGATTAAACAGAACTGTGATATGTTACATCAGATGCAAGAGTTAATGCCCGTACTAGAAACTGATAGAATAAGAGATGTACCAGAATTATCCAATAAACTGAACGACTTAAACTTGTCATATTTGAAAATATACGAAGAGAGTCAAGATCTGAACGGTCACATAAATGAAGTGTTTTCTAAGTACAACGAAGTAATAACTAGCATTTCTAAATCACTGATTACTATAGATGCAGCAGTGACAGCAGCAGAGATAGCAGCTATGCCTAAAAAACAAGTCGATTAGGATTATATATAAGGAGTATATAAGGAAATATATACATATACATATACATATACGTGTAAGGAAGATTAATTTGTAATTTTATTAATAAAATTATTTAATGTATCATATTCGAAATAAAAAAGGCGTTGAATTCATTTAAAATACATTTATTCTTTATCCTTAATATATAAAAATACTTACGCATTCATCAGTGACTATGCATACATGAACATATTTTATTATTGTATCTCTTCGTAACAATGTATTTCATTAAAATACTTATATATTATATACATTTATCCTAACTATTTCATATCCTAATCCGCTGTTTATTTCAGAAATCCTTCCTACAGGATTTCTGAGACAAACTTCTAAACGAGTATGGGTGTATTTCATATGATGGTCTCTCAGATCGGCAATAAATACTTTTTTTGTTCTTGTCGATTTCCAGATAGTTACAGAGTTCGTTTAATAATGCTTCACCATCGTTAATATCCCTCCGGTAGTATACTACAATATAAGAGAGACACAGCATAAAACTCTGTCGCTATCCAGAAGGTCGGCAAGCCCAATAGAAGTCGAATTTCCAAACTGTCAAGTATTCAACAAATGTTCAGTACCTTTCCTATGTCGAAGAGACCCAATTCGCTAAAGTTGTAAAAAATCTCTTACAATGTTAATCGTATTAAACAGTCACTTTATACAGTATTTACAAATTTCTTAATTGTAAATAAGTATCGTGTTGCCAATTGTGTGTACCTCCGTCGTTTCTACTACAAAATATTGCAATATCTACCCATTAATCGATAACATAGAAAGAAAAAAAAAAGAAAGAATCATTTACATCTCCTTTTTATAATAGAAATCGAATTATGGCCATTCAGTGCTATCCGTCGAGCGCATTCCTCGCATTCATAAATAGGAACATACCGTTTGAAATGTAGACGGATTTATCGTAAAAAAAAAAAGAAAAAGAAGAACAAAGAACAAATTAAGTACATCTCTTTTCCCGTTAGCTTTCTTCTCGACGTTTTACGAGGAACTTCGAAATTCAACCTTCTCCAGTTCCTTTCACCGAATTCGTTGTGCAACGTAAATTTCAATACACGTTCGTAATTCATATTCTTCTCGCGTAGGCTGTTTCGCACGACACCACCCTACTTTTAACTTTGCATTTGTAGAGCAGGCACAGACTGTCGCAGCCAAGACAGCGTGGGTTCCACGCTCGAATAAATTGCTGGATGACCCCTTGAGCATCTGCTATGGTGACTAAGTAGACCCTGAATTTCCCATCTTCCTGAACCACCGCTGGACTCGCTGAAGCACATCAAAGGAGCCCCCTCGTCGTTCTGGAAATGGGCAACATTAATTATACCAGCCGATAAGGAGACAAGAGAATCAAATGGAAAGGAAGGCTCGGAGAATCTTACGTAACAAGGTCCTTTATCCGTATCGGTAAACCCAGCACAAATGTTGTCCTTCGTGATAAATCCTGCATAGTGGCTCGTCGCGTTACATTCTTCCAAGTCACGTGTAGGCAACGGCAGGAACTTGAGATATTTCTGTAGATCTACCTCGCCGTTCACCGGAAATCCCCATCCTACCATAACGCAAATCTGGCTTGGCTGAAATGTGCAAGAAAATAAAGTGTAAATTTTCATCTTTCAGATCAGTCAAGTTTTCAATGAAATAGTATGTACGCACCTGGAATGGTTGTTTCGGAAGGCAAACAGCGCTGACGTTCCTGGAGAAGGTCAATGGCTTGGCCAGTTCGATCAGGGCGATGTCGTTGTCGTACAAGAACTGATTGTATTTCACCTGGGGATAAGGAATGATGCTCTTCACCGGATGGGCTTTCAATTGATTTTCACCAGTGAACAGCTGCCAGCCGTTGCTTTGTTTGTGCCTGGCGGTTAGAAGAGAGTTCGATGAGAGAGTACAGTTTCCCGAGTATAATTAAGAGTATAAAATTCCCGATCGCATGTACCTGTGTATGCAAGAGTAACTCGCGAGCACGTGCATGGGCCCCAGCACGCTCGCCGTGCATGCAGCACCGGACTTCGATTCCTTCAGCAAAACCACGCTGGACCATTGCCCCTCGCTGGCCGGTGTTCCACCGACCAACCTGGCAGTCGGCCCTTCCCCGTAATGCGTGCCGCAAGAAAACTCTTGGCAGGAGAGTTGAACCACTTTCTCGGAGATGCACAACTCCACGGGCTCTAAATTCTTGACTAGCGGCATGTCGGAACGCGAGTTCAATATCAGTCTCATAATCTTCTGGCTTCTGTCCCAGTCCGAAAGTTCCGTCGCCTCGGAACCGGAGAACCCTAAGGCTCGGCAATAAGAGTCGCTGAACTCTTCGTTCCATCCGTCGGAGCAAACTAGGCGGTAGCTACCGTCGAATTGTCTGGAATAAGGACGGTAAACGGTATTTAGAGCTAGATTGTGGAGTCCATTTTTATTTAGATATATTCTTTTTATTTGTTTAGATTTATTTATTTAGATTTAGAGCTCATTTTTATAGCTGTCGAGGATAGGTAATCAGAAAAACGAGTCGCAATTTATTATATTTTAATTCGCAATTTTAATTCAATTACATCGCGTTTGTAATTCACGTAATTCAATTACTTAGTATTTTTTAATTGTGCTTCAATTGCAATTGCGAATTACACTGGAATTTAAAATGGCAATGCGATTGAATTATAATTATAATTGAAGTATATATGGTTCAATTATAATTGTAATTGAATTCAATTCACTTGTAATTGGATTATATATTAATTCAATTATAATTGTAATTGACTTCAATTCACTTATAATTGGATTGAATTATACATATATTAATTCAATTATAATTACAATTTAATTCAATTCAATTTTTTATAATTGAATTATACATACAATTCATTCGTATAAAATTGAACTATAATTTCAAATAACACTTCAGTCTCGAAGAAATTGCTTCGGTGTATAATTAAGGGGGTAATTAAGGGCGACGATGCCACGACCGATAAAATTCGAATTTACCTTATCTTCAACAGAGATTTTCTGTCGTTCAATTCCTGTCCGGCGTTGCTCCCGATCGCGCCGTCCTTTTGCCCGTCCGTGAGATTCCTCTCGGTTGCCACATTGGCGATCATACATCCCCATTCGTCCGAATGATCGGGACAATGTTCTATTCCATCGCAGACTTGCTCCTTTCGTACGCATCCGCCGCTTTTGCATTTGAATTGATCGGTGTCGCAATAGCAGAGCTTCTCGTCCTCGCCGTCGGCACATTCGCTGACGTTGTTGCAACGCCACGTCAACGGTATGCACCACTTTTCCTTCGGGCAAAGGAACTCGTCGTTTCCACAGCTTTCGTTGCACTCGTACTCGTCCCGATGGTCCTCGCAGTCGGGCCGGCCGTCGCATTGCCAGATGCTCGGTATGCATCTCCCTGAAATCAAATAAATTAAAGGCGCATTATTAGAGGCGCATCCGATTTTCGCGGCTTCGACCGACACCGATTCCACGGCACTCCGGCTCTCAGATCCCCTAGATTATTTACCATAATCGATTCTAAAACCAGTCTATTAATATTCAAGGCAGGCCCATTAACCGGCCGACCGTTCGTTTTTCCTTTCACTTCTTTATAATCGTCGTTATCCTTATTTACATTTAATGGTCGCGGAACGGACCGCTCCGCGACACCGCAAGGATATACTCACCGCTCGGACACCGGAATTCGTCGGGCTGGCATTCCCATCTATCACAGTTTTTCTCGTCGGTGCCGTCGTCGCAGTCGAGGATCTTGTTGCAGACGAGATCCCGCTTTAGACATTGACCGCTCGCGCACTGGAAATTTCCAGGGCAGCCTTGTTCCACGCAATTGAGCTCGTCGGAGCCGTCCGAGCAGTCGTTCTCGGAGTCGCATTTCGCGGACAGCTTGACGCAATAAGCGCCGTCCCTGGACGTTCCGTTCGCGCATTGGAATTGACCCGCGGTGCACTTCGAGAACACGAGGTTCGGCGGCAGGTTCAAGAAGGAGACGTCGATGTGCCCGATGGGCGAGCCGAGGTCCGCGTCGCCGCGTCCTTTCGTAACCCGCGTTACGCCCGCTTCCGGCGCCGGTGAGGTAACAGCCGACCGGTCCGAAACGATCATTGAAGTCTGCGAGCCGGTTTCGTTCGCCTTTGTGTCGTCCGGCTCGGCAATTTTCGCCGAGACAATCGCGGAACGTCCTTCGCCCGATGATTCACCGACCGCCAACGGGGCGGCCGTCGTAAAGTTCGTTAGGCTCGGCCGACGGAAATAGAAGTAGGGCTCGGTGACCGGCTCCGGTTCGTTGATCTCCTCCGACACGGGGATGAAGCTGAGGTATCTCTTCGTGCTGGACTCCATCGCACCCATTGCGCCGTCAGAGTCCCCTTCGGGGACGTCTTTCGACGACGTCTGATTCGAGCCGCTCGTGGTCTCCGTGATCTTCAGCTTCGATATCGCGGCGTCCTCCTTCGAGACGTACACGGTACTCGCGGCAACTCTTTCGGGTCCTGGGAGCTCCGTCATAGGCAGCACCACAGGATCCGGGACGTCCGTCACCGCGTTCTCCTCTCCGTCGGCTTCCAGATCCAGCTCCTTCTCCTTCTTGTACTTGTACTTGTCGACCACCTTCTTGTCCACGGACTTCTTCTTCAGCTCCAGACTCTTCTCCAGAGGGATCACCCTCAGGTCTTCCTCCGACATTTCTCCCACGTTCAGGTCGGCCAGCACAGCTTTCGGCGTCGTGGTGAACAGCGTTCTGTACACGAACCCGACCGGCGTGTCGTCCTCGAGGATCTCCGTGACCGGTCTTATGTCCTCGCTGAAACTGTTCGCCGTACTCGAAGTGACATTCTCGGTCGAGTTCGCGCGCCCTTCTATCGGGTTGTCCGTTTCGTTCGCCTTCGAGTTGTTCTCGGTGCTCGTCGAGGTTTCCACCGTCGCGTTCTCCTCGTCGGTCTGGTTCACGTTCGGGACGTCTATCTGCGGCTCGATGTCGATCTTCCTACCGCCTAAGTGCTCCACCGCGCTCGTCGCGAGGTCGTTCGTTTTGTTGTCGCGTTCCTCCGAATTGCCGATAGAATCCTCGGTTCTGTTGGCGTCGCTCGTTTCGTTCATCGATGTTCGCGCATCGACGTTCGTCTCGTTCGCCTTTTCCGGCTGCATCGTCGAGGTGGTCAGCACCGGCTCGCTCTCCGTGGTCTGCAGTTCCTCCGGCAGGATCGGCACCTGGGCCGTGGTCTTCGTCTCCATCGAGCTCGCGTGGGTGGTCGGGACCTGAGTCGTGGTGGCCTCTTCCGAATTAGCGCGAGCCGTCGCGGCGCTCGCTTCCGTTTCGTTGTCTTTCTTGGGAGCCTCTTCGGTCACCGTCGTGCTGTCGATCTTCTCGGTCGTGGACATCTCCTGCTGAATCTCCATCGGCAGTATCGGTATCTGCGTGGTCAATTTAGCGTCCTCGGCGTGTTTCTCCGCGACATTGCCTATCGACGCGACCTCGGTGTCGTTCGCGGAGACCTTCGCCTGAGCGTCGGTCAGCTTCGACGACTTCTCCTCGCTGTTCTCCACCGAATTGATGTTGTTCGCGAGCAGACGCCCGGTCCCCTTGTCCTTGGTGATCTCTCTGTCGTCGTTGATGTCGTTGTACTGATCCTCGACGGCGTTCTCCTCGGGCTTCTCCAAAGTGCTCGTCACATTGCCAGTAATAGATTCTTCAGGATTATTATAGTCAACCTTGGAATTCGAGATCGTCGAAGACTCCGTCACCTCAGGCTTGCCCTCGTGCGCTTTGCCGGTCGTTTCCTTGAACTCCTCCAGCGGCACCACCTTCAGAGCTTCTTCATCTTCCGCGGGAAGATCCGCGTGAACGTGATCGTTGACGGGTCTGTCGACGACATCGTAAGCATGCAAGCCGTTCTGCGTCTCGGTGTCCGTGTCGTTGACGTTGAGGACGTCCGATAAGGTCGACGGCTCTTTCGTCGAGCCCTCTGGATCCCCCGTATTGTTCACCTTGTTGCTTTCCTCCTCCTCGCCGATCGGCTTGTTGCTTCGCGCTTCGGGGCGCACGTCGTTCGTCGCGTCGGAGTCCTTCGGATCCGACTCGTTTCTCTCGGTGGTTCCGTGCTCCGCCATCGGCTTGTCCGTCACCACGTCTTCCACGTGGCCGTCGAAAGGGTTCGGCACGTCCTGCTCGTCCTTGTCCAGCCTGGGCGCCTTCTTCACTTCCTTCTCCCTCTGAACGTCTGGCAGGAACGGCGACATGTCGTCCACGTGCTTCTCGTAGACCACGTCCGACTTCTCGGTGACGATGTGATCGACCAAATTGTCCGGGTAGACGACAGGGTGCAACGGGTGGCTGGTCGAGTGCTCCAAGCTGTCCTCGAAGCGGACCGAGTCCCCGGCAGGGACCACGTTCTCGCTTGGGTGACTCGCGGAGTGATTCGAAACTGCTTTAACCTCTTCCGTGGATGATTCGATGATCTTGTTCTCCGACGTGGTGCTTTCATACGACGATATATTCGCTGGTTTGTTGCTTTGTTCGGGGGTCAGCTGAGGGATGATCGCGTGGGGGTCCTGCACCTCGGGCGATTCCTCTTTCGGTATGATCATAATGTGTTCCTCCGTGTCGTTCTTCAGCGGCTCTATCAGAGGCTCGACGTTCTTACCGAAGTCCTTCGGTAGCTTCGGGAACACGGTTACAGGAATGTGGTCGATCACGTTCATGTCGTGCGGACTCGTTGCGGGCTCCAAGGTGGTGGGCTCGACGGCTTCGGGCACGTTCTGCGACTTCGGTTGCTTCGAAGCGTCATTGTCCACCGTAGAATCCATTTCTGTCGTATTCTCGGAAATGTATGTTGTATTCTCTGCGGGGAGGAGCGTCGTCTCGGATCCCAAATTCGAGACCGTAGTGGACTCTGCTTCAGGGACCACGGATCTAGGCGTCAACATTGAGCTATCTGTCGAAGGTTCTGTGCTCTCTTCGTCGTCCGTTCTCATCGTGGTATACTCAGCGACCTCGTCTCGCAATGTTTTATTCTCGGCCGCAGCTTCGACGTTCACAGTTCCGCGATCTTCTTCCGCAGGACTTGCCGTCATTTTATGTTCACCCTCCACTTCCCTCGTTGTTGTATCGATTACCGGCGTAGTCCCTCCTAAATGATCGTCGGAGAACGAACGGCTCAGTGTCTTGTCCTGCTCGTTGTCCGTCGTCAAAGGTATCACCGACAAGGGTGCATTGTCGCTTATAGTTCGCTCGGTAGTCGCTTCTTTGCCGGCGACTTCTTCGATCGCCGACAAGGTTGTGGGTTCTGGCTCCATATTCGTGGAACGTTCACCTTCGGGAGTTATGGTCGTAGCCTCTGTCGGAGATTCGGTGGTCGGTGCGTCGGTAATCGGATCAGCTTTGTTGGGCACAGCTTCGATAGATGATTCTGTTTTTGAGAGCTCTTCGACATTGGGAGTTACACCAACGTTGTCTTGTTGGAATTCTACGTTCGTCGAGGTCTCTATCGATGGCACCGTAGTCATTCTAGGGTAGACAGATTCATCGTTCGCAGGTTTCGGCTCGGTGACAGAGTCAGGCTCGAAGAGAGGCGTTGGTTCGGTCGGTGGCTTTGGTTCGGCGGTAGGATTAGGTTCTACAGAAAGCTGTGGATCCACGGTTGCTTCTGGTTCAGCAGCTGGTTCTGGTTCTGCGGTCGGTTCAGGTTGTACAGTTGGCTTCTCTTCCGCAATTGGTTCTGGGTTTGTAGACGGTTCAGGTTCGGCGGAAGGCTCCGGCTTCGTCGAAAGTTCTGGCTCCGTGGACGAGGACTCGGCTCTAGGTTCGGCCGAAGGTTCTGGCTCGGCGGAAGGCTCGGGTTCAGCTGTTGGCTCGGGTTTCGTCGGAGCTCCCGATTCCGTGGTAGATTCTGGTTCTGAGAGCGACACCGGTTCGGTCGAAAGTTCCAGTTTTACCGAAGTGTCGTGTTCTATGGAAAGTTCCGGCTTTGCCGATGGTTCTGGTTCAGCAGATGGCTCGGTTGAAGGTTCTGGTTCAGCAGCTGGTTCTGCCGAAGGCTCTGGTTCAGCAGCTGGTTCAGCCGATGGCTCTGGTTCAGCCGAAGGTTCTGGCTCTGCGGAAGGTTTTGGTTCAGCCGATGGTTCTGGCTCAGCTGCAGGTTCTGGTTCAGCCGAAGGTTCTGGTTCAACAGCTGGCTCGGTTGAAGGCTCTGGTTCAGCAGCGGGTTCAACCGAAGGCACTGGTTCAGCAGCTGGTTCAGCTGAAGGCTCTGGTTCAGCCGAAGGTTCTGGCTCCGCGGAAGGTTTTGGTTCGGCAGCTGGTTCGGCAGCTGGTTCAGCAGCTGGTTCGGCCGAAGGTTCTGGTTCGGCCGAAGGTTCTGGTTCGGCCGAAGGCTCTGGTTCAGCCGAAGGTTCTGGCTCTGCGGAAGGTTTTACTTCAGCAGCTGGTTCGGCAGCTGGTTCGGCCGAAGGTTCCGGCTCCGCAGAAGGCTCTGGTTCAGCCGAAGGCTCTGGTTCGGCAGCTGGTTCGGCCGACGGTTCCGGCTCCGCAGAAGGTTCTGGTTCGGCAGCTGGTTCTGGCTCCGCAGAAGGGTCCGGCTTCTCAGATTCCGTCGTTTCCTCGGTCGGCAAGTGTCCAGAGTGATCGTGCATCCAGTGTACATGGTCAGGTTTGTCCAAATCGTGCGAATGATCGTGCATGTCGTGGTCATGGCCGTGGTTGTTATCGTCTTCGGTGTGCTTGAAATGACNCGACAAGGTTGTGGGTTCTGGCTCCATATTCGTGGAACGTTCACCTTCGGGAGTTATGGTCGTAGCCTCTGTCGGAGATTCGGTGGTCGGTGCGTCGGTAATCGGATCAGCTTTGTTGGGCACAGCTTCGATAGATGATTCTGTTTTTGAGAGCTCTTCGACATTGGGAGTTACACCAACGTTGTCTTGTTGGAATTCTACGTTCGTCGAGGTCTCTATCGATGGCACCGTAGTCATTCTAGGGTAGACAGATTCATCGTTCGCAGGTTTCGGCTCGGTGACAGAGTCAGGCTCGAAGAGAGGCGTTGGTTCGGTCGGTGGCTTTGGTTCGGCGGTAGGATTAGGTTCTACAGAAAGCTGTGGATCCACGGTTGCTTCTGGTTCAGCAGCTGGTTCTGGTTCTGCGGTCGGTTCAGGTTGTACAGTTGGCTTCTCTTCCGCAATTGGTTCTGGGTTTGTAGACGGTTCAGGTTCGGCGGAAGGCTCCGGCTTCGTCGAAAGTTCTGGCTCCGTGGACGAGGACTCGGCTCTAGGTTCGGCCGAAGGTTCTGGCTCGGCGGAAGGCTCGGGTTCAGCTGTTGGCTCGGGTTTCGTCGGAGCTCCCGATTCCGTGGTAGATTCTGGTTCTGAGAGCGACACCGGTTCGGTCGAAAGTTCCAGTTTTACCGAAGTGTCGTGTTCTATGGAAAGTTCCGGCTTTGCCGATGGTTCTGGTTCAGCAGATGGCTCGGTTGAAGGTTCTGGTTCAGCAGCTGGTTCTGCCGAAGGCTCTGGTTCAGCAGCTGGTTCAGCCGATGGCTCTGGTTCAGCCGAAGGTTCTGGCTCTGCGGAAGGTTTTGGTTCAGCCGATGGTTCTGGCTCAGCTGCAGGTTCTGGTTCAGCCGAAGGTTCTGGTTCAACAGCTGGCTCGGTTGAAGGCTCTGGTTCAGCAGCGGGTTCAACCGAAGGCACTGGTTCAGCAGCTGGTTCAGCTGAAGGCTCTGGTTCAGCCGAAGGTTCTGGCTCCGCGGAAGGTTTTGGTTCGGCAGCTGGTTCGGCAGCTGGTTCAGCAGCTGGTTCGGCCGAAGGTTCTGGTTCGGCCGAAGGTTCTGGTTCGGCCGAAGGCTCTGGTTCAGCCGAAGGTTCTGGCTCTGCGGAAGGTTTTACTTCAGCAGCTGGTTCGGCAGCTGGTTCGGCCGAAGGTTCCGGCTCCGCAGAAGGCTCTGGTTCAGCCGAAGGCTCTGGTTCGGCAGCTGGTTCGGCCGACGGTTCCGGCTCCGCAGAAGGTTCTGGTTCGGCAGCTGGTTCTGGCTCCGCAGAAGGGTCCGGCTTCTCAGATTCCGTCGTTTCCTCGGTCGGCAAGTGTCCAGAGTGATCGTGCATCCAGTGTACATGGTCAGGTTTGTCCAAATCGTGCGAATGATCGTGCATGTCGTGGTCATGGCCGTGGTTGTTATCGTCTTCGGTGTGCTTGAAATGACCAGATTCGGTGCTCTGCTCGGAATGATCCCAATCGTCGGGTCTTCTCGGCTCGAACAACGTGCCCGGTCCCCTGCTTCTCCCTTGAACGTAGTAGTGAACCACTTCGGTGCTGGTCTCCGGCACCTCGTCGTCCATTTCGACGTTGCTCAGATCGTTCTTGTCCACGCAACGCTTTCCACCGTTGTCCAATGTTTTCCCGGGGTCGCAGGAACACGAGAACACGCCGACGGAGTAGTCGTACTCGCAGTTGTCGGAACAACCATAATTCTCGATCTGGCACTCGTCGACGAGATTGCTGACCGTCAGCCGGTTCAGATGATACTGTCCGAGCATGTTGCCGTTCTTCTGCAGCGACTCCTCGATGGTCCGTTGCGTCTCCTCGACCATCGGTCGCGGCGGATAACTTATTCTAAACTTCACGTGTCCCTGCCGGTTTATGCTGTACACTTTCACTATCGTTCCGTTGTCCCCGGGGCGCAGCATCCTCTTCAGCTGCTCCTCCAGCTCGCCGGACACCTGTCTGTACATTCGAGACTTGTGGTCCTGGAACTCGTCGTTCCAGCGGAACTCGTCGAGCTGCATCAAGCCGTCCAAAGCGCTCGGTACGTTTTTGTACAAGGACTCGTCCGTCGTTTGCCATGGTGGGAAACTCGAGGTAGCTGGCGGCGGACTAGGCGGCGGGTCTTTCATGTATTCTTGGCTGCCGGAGGTTCGGACGTCGCCGAACTGGCGAGAATTGGTCTGCTGCAGGTTCTCGAGTGGTTCCGACGCCTCTTGCGTCAAAATTACGCCAGCTGTAACAGAATCGTCGAAATTTAGTTTTGTGAGAGGAGTGAGCACGAATTTTAATGGGGTTCAGGAAATCGTTATGATACTTTGGACCATTATAATATCAATTTATGATGTCATTGATATGTATTTTTATTTATAATATCGATTTAAGATATCACTGATATATATTTTTATTTACGATATCAATTCAAGGTATCATCGATACATATTTTTATTCACAATATCAATTCATAACGTCATCGATACACATTTTTATTTACAATATCAACGACAAAGCGAAACCAGAAAATGGTCCTTACTTGCAGCTAAAATGGCAATGACGACAGCCACCAAAAGAACCAACAGCCCGCAGCCCCAGCAAGCCATCCTTCTCCAATACGAGCTCCTCGATCGTTTGTCCTTGGTGACATACAGTTTCTCACCCCTGTAACACAAGTTTACGCCTAATCATTAAGATCGTCTACGTACACGTCCGTTCACCCTCATCCTGGACCCAAAATAAGCGTATATTGTACAGCACTGTGCTTGTGAATATATATCGGAGTCGTTCCTCAGCGATCAGCCATGGGATTAGGAAAGCTTTCCTAGACGAACAACCACCCATTCTCTAAGACCATTATGTCGTGAACATCTCTCTAGCTGGCTTTCATCTAACGTTCTTGCGGCACGATCGCATTATTGTGTTGCACCCTTTAGTCGCAAGTTCGATCGAGGTTTTGTCGGGGGGCGACGACGACGACGAGATCGGACCGAGCTAACTTGATTTTTAATACCATTTTAATGCTTGTGAGACGAGCAGTGTCCATGTGTGGGGGGGGGGGGGCATATGTCAGCTTCGTGACGTGGACGTGTTGTGAACGTTTTTTCATTATCGTTGCCCGAGTATATCTGTTCACCCGTGTATATGGTACAGGGGATGTTCTTTATTCTTCGAGCGAGGAGATGTGCTCTCTCTCTCTCTGAGGCGAAGTTCGGGGGTTCGCGCGGTCCGAAAAAAAGCAAAAAGAAAAACGAGACTCTGCTCTCGGATCGGTCCACGTGTCTCAACGGGTGCACACGTCGCCACGGTGCAATATTACATTTGTCGTGATAGAATAATCGTGAGATGTTTTTTGCATTCCGTCGTCAGACATCAGGCTCAGTCGACCAAAAAAAAAACAAAAAAAAACAGAGACAGTATGTATATTCACAGCAGCAAAAGAAGCAGCGGGTTAGTTTCGCGATCGTGCGCATCCACCGTTCATCGATCGAGCAGCCTCCCTCCGCCCTTTCTTGCTCATCCGCGAAAGCATCCTTCAAAGTACCTGAGGGCTGTCAGCCAGTGGGAATAGTCGACCAGTCCGGCGGCGGGGTCTCTCAGGCTGAGTCCCTCGCGGCCGACGCCGGGGCCCAAATCAAAACGCACTCCAGCCACGGTTGTTTCAACCTCGGCCTCGGGACCCCTGCTAGGTACCGTGACAACAGAAAACACCGTCTAACTCTCTACTGAGCTGGGCAAACGGGGTAATGGTGATTTTTGTTCGATCAGCGCCGATGATGTATGGTGTTTAGGGAACGTCTAGGGGGTGGCTAGCAACGTTGTCGCGCGGAGCTAATTACGGTAAGGTGCACAGATATAGTTATCTAAATCTTTGATTGTTTTTTTTGCCAACGAATCGATCGTGGGAGCAGAAAATGTACGGGGATAAGTGGACGTTAGATTTTGAACTCTCGTCGAAGTTGCCTTTCTTTTTTTTTAACGAAATGGTGTGATCGGTATTAGATCAAGTACGTCTTGAAATTAGGGAATTGGAGGTTCCTGAGGTCGTTTTGATGCAAGTTTTTTCTTAGCGAAAATGCAATTCGAGGCTTTGTTTATGCGTTATTAATGGAGAATAGTGACCAATGAGGGGTGAGCTTGGCTGGCGCCCAACATATATGAAATATACGTGAAATATGTGTGAAAATATATGTGAAATATAGATGAAAATATATGTGAAATATAGATGAAGATATATGTGGAACATATATGAAAATATATATTTAAAAAATATATGAATATATATGAAATATATATGAAAAATATATGAAATGTATATGAAAATATCTGAAAAATATATGAAATATGTATGAAAATATATGAAAAAAAGTATATGAAAAAATATATGGAATATACATGGAGATATATGAAAAATATATGGAAAAATCGATAATTTAACCGTTAAGTACCCCATTAAAATGGACTCTGAAACTCCAGAAACGAAACATTCATTTTCACCGAATTTCTAAACGAAAATCAAGTTTTCATTGTAGTATGGAAGGCAGGGCAAGATAATCAAAGCTCATCTAAATTGACAAACAGTTGTGTTAATTAGCGGCATAAAAATTAGGTCCGCGGTTGTGGCTCTAACAGACTACTCAAGGGTTAAGAATACAAATCGCCAATAAAAAGAAAAGTGGTTTCAATGAAATATCACAATGCTACCGTCCCACGTGACACCTCAACGTTAGGATTAAACTGTTATCTCCTTGCACTTACAGAAAGTAACACATTCGTACATCGTGTTTAATTCGTTTTAGTAGCTGCGATCGTGTTTGTTGCCTCTAATACCCGTAGCTCTTCGGTATATTTATTTGCTTGTTAAACAATTAATGTTAATTAATATGCTCCGTACGAGGGGGTTCTACATCGATTATACTAATGTTTCTCTAATTGACGCTCAGTTTGTCCACAAAAGTGGACAATTTGGGAAGTAGAGATACGATTGTTCGAGCCTTGCGGTTCGTTTTTATAGTTACAAATTGTCAACAACTATAACAACGAGAAGCAGAACACGAATAATCCTCTTTCCAAATTGTCTATTTTTGTGCACAATCTGAGCGTCAGTTAGGGAGACATTACTATATTGCTCGATCTGCTGTGCTGTCGCGAACAGAGAAACTAGCATCTACTCTCTAACAGTTAGAAGGATTTAAACTTCCGCAAGCTTGCGCAGCGTCGCGCGTCTTCGGCTGTTAAACAGCCTCGAGAATTTCGTTTTGGACGCATCCTATACAGGATGTCTCAAAAATGTCTCGCAATCCGAAAGTATGGGATTCCTGAGGTGATTTGAAGCAACTTTTCCCTCAGCGAAAATGCGATCCGCGGCTTCGTTAACGAGTTATTAACGAAAAACAGTGACCAATCAGAGGCGAGATCATTTGACGCGAGACGGTCGAGCCAATGAGCGGAACTGGGCTCCGCGCACTCGTTGGCTGGGCCGCCGCGCGCCAGCCGAGCTCGCCTCTTATTGGTCCAGTGTTTCTCGTTGATAACTCGTAAACGAAGCCTCGGAGAAAATTTTCACAAAGGAAAAAGTTGCTTCGAATGACCTCAGGAACCTCCCATTTTCAGATTACGAGACATTTTCGTGACACACATATTGCTATCCTATCGCAAACACTGTCGAAAGTGCGTTTTCCTAAAATCTAAACTAAAAACGAGTCGTTTCTGATTCTAACAAGGCCATAAGCAAGCAAAATCAGAACCGGGGGACTACGCTAGACTGCTGGACACCTTGCAGAGCAATCTCTAAAAGATTCGTCTGCGTTTTAGCGAGATTTACTCGTCCCGCTGAAACCGTGTTCGAGCGCACGAAACCGCTGAACCCGAAACCGTCGTGTTACGAAACAGTTCGAGGTTGACGCAGAGTTTTATTTCTACCTCGGGTACGCACGCAGCTCGACGAAAGACGGTCATTTTTGCAATAGACGGTCACTCGTGCATTTTCCTACGGAACATTGTGACACGATCGTGTCGTGTCGCAAACCGTTTCCATCGGTGAACGTGTCTCCGTAATAATGTCCGAGGACCTTCGCTCGTTCCGCTTCTATCCACCATTTTCTTTTCCTTTTTTTTTTTATTGTATCTCCGACGCCGCGCCGCGGAGCGTAAATTGGATCGTTCGCCGATTCGGAAAAACAGATTCGGACGAGCTTGTCCGGAAAACCTATGGAAATCGTCCGTCGGGATCGGAATACTCGGATAACGAGCGTCGCAAGATTTCTTCGAACGCTTTTTTGCGCGTTCAACCGACGAATTTTCTTCGACGATGCGAAAACAGGGTGCTCTCGGGTGTTCACAGTGTTTTCCTGTCAAACACACTTTCATTGTCAAAGCGCGTCTTTACTGCCCGCCGGGCTGGTGAACAATGGACGGTTAATTCGATGTTAAAAGTAACAGCCATAACAGGACAGAGAGAAACGAGTAGGCGAAACATTCGATCGTGGTTACAACAGTTCGTATAATCGACCGTCGGTTTTCGTTACCTGATGTACTTCCGATGCTCGTTCACCGGCACGAAGTACTCCTCGTAGGGATCGGCTGGCACCTCGCAGGCCTCCTGGCCTTTCGTTTGATTGTTGCCCGCGTAAGGCCTCATCGAGACCAGCTCCAAGTTCACGGCCTCGATTTGCTCCTTCTTCCCAGAGTCTACGAAATAAAACCGGAAATCGTTCAATCCACGCTCGCCAATGCCGGCACGCGCGAGGGGGTGTAAAAACCGGTTCCCGTTTTTCGGCCTCGAGCCGCGGAGACGGGCCTCGTTCCTTGCATAAATTAATTATCGATCACCCTCCGGTTACCGGACACCAGATTTTAACCCTCGCCCGGTCGGATACCGGCTGGGAAAACCGGTAACGCGACGAAGAGCCGTGCTTTCTTTTTCGCCTAGTTTCCGACACTAATACCAGTTTAGAGCGTGTTCTCTTTTTTTGTATTCCTATTTTACAACGTTTGAGAACCCCTGAGACTAGAATATTAATCGGGAATTTCGCAACGCGTGTTCGAATCTACGCGCAACGGCGAGAGAGTTAAGAAACTTCGCGTATACGGTAATGTCTCTCTAATTCGCGCTCAGATTGTCCACGAAAGTGGACAAGTTTGGGAAGAGAAGATACGATTATTCGAGCCTTGCTGCTCGCTTTTATAGTTACCGATTGTCAACAACTATGAAAACGAGAAGCAAGGATCGAATAATCGCATCTCCTCCTCCCAAATTGTTTATTTTTCTGCACAATTTGCGTGACAATTAGGGAGAAATTACCGAATTCTCCCTAATTGACGCTCGGATTGTGCAGCAATGTCTCCCTAATTGACGCCGAGATTGCGTAGAAAAAATGGACAATTTTGCAAGAGGGAAGACAGTTGTTGAAAATCGGCAACTATCAAAACGAGTCGCGAGGCTCGAATTCGCAAGGCTCCTCTTCCCACATTGTCCATTTTCGTGGACAATCCGAGCGTCAATTAGGGAGACATTACCGTATTCGTCCGCGAGGGGTGGTTTACGAGAGCGTGCCGAAGCGAAATAGAACAATGCGCTCGTTACTTCATCGCGGATCTATAAAAAGATCGCGCGTAACGTTTCTCAAGCAGAATCCGAGCTCACGAGAATGTTGGTTTTTCGACCTTGTTACGTAATGGGAAATATGTTCCTCGGAAACATTAGAATTCAATTACCGTGCATCACGAACCACGCTTGGAAATACGTATTACCTACTTACGCTTATTTAGCACATTTGCTCGCCGTTAACGTAACCTGTAATTCGCCGATTCGTTTACGGACGTTCGACAGCGTATTAAATTGTAATCGTAACTATCCGCGTCGATGCTCGTCGGACTTCCGTGTTAGGCGAACGACGCGAACGGGTTCGCGCACCTTTTGAAATGAAATAACTTTTTCGAGACCGGACCGAGTGACTTGAACTTCTTTTTTTCAGATGATAGAGGGATATTAACCCTTAAAATTTGTTGTATCACGTTCTCGGATAATTTTTATATTAACAAAGACTGAGCGTCAGTTTGGGGGACATTATGGGAGACATTACTGTAATGTTAATATTGAACGATAAGACTTTTAAGTTGTAACGAAATCGATGACAGTCTTGTAATACCTGAGAAACGCTCTATAATATACAGGGTGTCTCAGTTTTCAATGTTCAAAATGTCTCAACATATTCTATGGTACCAAATAAAGTTACGTAAACATAGCTCGAGGGTTAATAGATTTATTACAAATCATTTAGTTGAGTTTTAAAGAAGTTACAGTAATGTCTCCCTTACTGACGCTCAGATTGTCCACTAAAATGGACAATTTGGGAAGAGAAGACACGATTATTCGAGTCTTGCAGCTCCTCCTTTTTAAAATCGTTGACAATTCGTTACTATAAGAATAAACCGTAAAGCTCGAATAATCGCGTCTTCTCTTCCCAAACTGTCCATTTCTGTGGACAATCTGAGCGTCAATTGGAGAGACATTACTGTATTACGTTTTAGAAGCTGTGTTACCGGCATTTTTGGGGGCCGCTGTAATTAGAGCGCGTGTGCAGCGAACGAAATGAGAAATGTTCTCGTCGGAGACGATTAGGCGATCGTTGTTACGGTCGCGAATGTATTTTTTTTTAAAGGTTGACCATCGTCGCGCCGGAGGGCCGTCCGTACACTTTCTGCGTTTCACCGACCTCGAACGACTTTTTCTCGGCGGTCTGGTGGTGGTAGTAATTAACGATCGAAAGTTCGGCTCTTCCCGATCATATCTGGTAAAATCGTGCGATCGGCGTGGATTTCAGCAACGGCTGTTATTTCTACACGTTCCGCTTGGCTTTCGAATCGTATGCGCATTCAAACGTGTCCTTCCCATTCAGCCGCCGCGCGGCTTTGCATCGCGCCACCAAATCTACTGCTCATCCGTTAAGCCTGTTCCAATTACCGTGCCACGCTCGGGAAAAATCTGAACGATCATTTTCCACGCGATAATCCCCCGCGAAAATTATTAGATAATTTGACCGGCGACGACCTGTCGGCGTGAGGCCACCCTAATTAAATGCAGAGCTGGGTGAAATGGTATCTTAATTGGCAAATTGTGAACAGATATTTTATCGTAGGCCATGCGCGTATTTTTGCAAGTAAAATATAAATATTTTATTCGCGCTGCAATTACTCGCAAACTATAAAATGCGTAAAGAGAGCATGTAAATGAATTTTTGTGCCACTTGCAAATATATTCGCGGTCAGATGTTGTTCCAAAACTGGCCGTCGATTAAACGACTTTGCGTAAAAATGCCGAAGCAACGTATAGAAAGTCCGCGCGTACCGGGTGATTTTCAACTTTGATAGCCGTTTACAATAATTTCAAGCCATATGACATAAGAATTCTATGCATCGACACTGACGAAACTCTCTCCGATATTAGAGGTATAACTTTCTAATACTTTTAGTTTCTACTCTTTCTCATTTGTTCGAAAATCGCGCGTTGCTACAACAAAATCGTAGAGCAATCGCGTGTATCCAGCTTTATTGTTAGAAACAATGACGATATACGAATCGGTAATTATTCTCTGAACTTTGGACTCCGCATCGACCTAAATAAATTTTGAATATGTTGTACTGTGTGTAAATTAGATCAACGGTATGCGACACTAGCTTCCGATTTGCGAAAAATTAAAAAAATAGTCTTTTCAACAACTATAAAAACGAGCTCGAAAGAAACGCCTGTCGCAGAGGCACGGACAGAATTCGCGATAATTTTCAAAACCGTGTAAAAATCGAATTGTTTATACAACGTATATATTAAACATACATATATACATATTGAAAAATTATTAAGATCGGAGCGGAAATCTGTGAGAAATCAGTCTAAATAACTCGTAGAAAATAGAAGCGGGAGAAAATAATTGAACCTGTTTCGCGCCTAATCAGCGAAGCGACGCGATAGTTAACGGAAGACATTAACATGCAAACAGCGGCGTCTTCGCCAGTATTCTTTTTTTTCCGGTGCAGCGTATACATTATTTATCGAATGTAAATGAACGCGGAGGCTTACGCAATTCGATACGATCATTTGTCCGAGTCTGTTGGAAACGACGAGACAGAAAGTCCCAGCTCCGTTCGGTCGCAGTTTTACACGTTTTACATCACGCAGCAACCAGCAGCAACCTCGCGGTCTTTCTCCAGCACGAAGGAAATAGTATCGTGGTGGAGGAAAGCTGCGATAAATGCGACGACGCGACGCCGCGATGACTTTTTTTGCCCCCGAAGAATTTTCTCGGCGAACGTTCCGGCGACCGGGTCTCTCTCTCTCTCTCTCTTTGTTACGTAAAACGTAAGATTTTTTTGCCGGCCGATTTGTACATTACGTCGGTCAAAGAATTTCTGGAAACTCGTTATGAAATGGAACGATAATAGGCCCGTTTAACGTTCGCGTCGCTCATGCCTTATTAGGTGCACCCATGTTTCGTTATGCTTCGAAAAATCTCCGAGCCATGTCCTAACCCTCTTCTCTGGCAGCTCCCTGGAACTGCGAAGTCACGCGCCGATTGATATCGACGTTTTCGAACGTCGTTTCGCGTTTAACCACAATGTTGTAAAAGTATCCTGCTCTCGGTTGTTGCTTTCCTGTTCACATTTCACGCGTGTTCGGTAAGCTCGCTTTATTTCTTCTTTTTCTTTTCTTTCTTTTCGCTACTTTTCTAAATTGTAAATTCGTTCGTTCACGCTTCGATCGTATGTATGCGGACAAGAAACGGAATGCCTCACGAAGTTGTAACGTTTTTACAACTCTTTCGACGATACTGGTGTCGATTAAATCGTTTGGGGGTTTTTTATATAGAGACGATAAGGTTTATTGACACTGTATCGCTGTTTCTAACGGCGATCTTAATGTTGCGGAACAACAAAGTATTGACGAAACTGTTGCAAAAATGTTGGACAGGGCTTGAATGTTATTATTAACATTTGATGTAATGGTGATATTCTTTTTTTAGATTGAACTTTTCTGTTAGTCAACTATTTAAGTCAATTAATCTAATTGTAAGTCGATTAAGGGATTCCTGAGGTCATTTGAAGCAACTTTTTCCTTTACAAAAATTTTCTCCGAGGCATCCTTAACGAGTTATCAACGAAAAACAATGACCAATGAGAGGCGAGCTCGGCTGGCGCGAGGCGACCGAGCCAATGAGCGGAACTGAGCTTCGCGCGCTGCTTGGCTGTGCCGCCTCGCATCAGCCGTACTCGATTCTTATTGGTCGCTGTTTTTCGTTGATAACTCGTTAACGGTGCCTCGGAGAACATTTTTGTAAAGGAAGAAGCTGCTTCAAATGATCCGAGGAACCCGCCATTTCGAGATTGCGAAACATTTTTGGGACACCCTGTATATATAGTAGTTCGTTATTTTGCCCAACTTTTTATCCTGTTTCCAGTATTCTTAAATAATGCTAAGTAAATTGAAAAATTGCATAAACTTGTAAATGTTCTTTCAAAATTGTTATCAATCAAGTGCAAAATAACTGTTGGAATGGAATTATTCTAAATAGATAAATAGATATTACTCTATTATTACATAATATTATTATATTATTGATATTACTCTATTATTATAATATTATTTTTTATATTACATTTACGCCAAAATCAAACGCTTGCAATTTAAAATAGCAGAAATGAACGTATCACTTTTTATCCACAGAAAGTACACTAAAAGAAAGAACTTTCTTCCTCGCAATTAATGAAACAGATTTCTATTTTGCACAGAAATCCACACAGTCCAATCACAACCGCGAATTAAAACGTCAATCTAAAATTCAACTAGAAACAGAAAAAGAAATGCAAAAGTTGCATGCAAAAGTTACAAATTCCGTAAACAATTTGCAGTTAGATTACAGTTAAATTCAAGCCCTGTTTATCAGTTATCAGTTACACGATTCGTCATCGTTCGCCATATAACGTTTGAATAAATCGAGTCTTACCGTTCATCTGAACGCTCGTCACGCTATTGTTAAGGAAACTGGCGTCATTGTTGTTCCCGTTCCCGTGTACCCCGTTCATCTTCGGCTCGACGACGGTCTTGTCGTTGCTCTCGGGCAGGTCGATTTTCGTTTCCGTCTTGTAATGCGGATCCGGACTGGTCCTTCCGGTGGCCGATCGTTGGTGGCCATTTTCCACCGGGCCGCTGTCCGACGCGGACTTATTGTGGTCCTGGTCCAAGGTCACTTGCTGAGGCTGATTGCCGCCATCCACCTTCGGCTCGGTAGTGGAGTCCTCTTCGCTGGCGAACGCCGGATTGTCCATACCATCGGCCATCGACATCTTACGATTGCGTCGCCGGAAGCTGCTGGGCCCTCACCTGAGAATGCTGGCCCGCGATGGACTCTCATGCGTCTCGATTCTGCAACGAAAGCAACACGATTCCGATTAGGCTCGATTCTGCAACGCTAGCAACGCGATTCGATTGGATTCGATCCGGCTACTTTTTATTTAAAGACAGCCCCGAGTGACTTACATATTTATGGAATTATTTTTTATATTTACGAAAATTATAGTATAATTTAATTAAATTGAGATCTGAATTAAGAATTACATTGTAATTGAATTGAATTGAGATTTGAATTATGAATTACATTGTGATTTAATTGAATTGAGATCTGAATTTCGAATTACATTGTAATTGAATTGAATTGAGATCCGAATTACGAATTACATGCAATTGAATTGAATTGAGATCTGAATTTCGAAAATTACATTGTAATTTAATTGAATTGAGATCTGAATTACGAATTACATTGTAATTGAATTGAATTGAGATCCGAATTACGAATTACATTGTAATTGAATTGAATTGAGATCCGAATTACGAATTACATCGCAATTGAATTCAATTGAAATCCGAATTATGAATTGCAACGTGATTGATTTACAATGCGATTGAATTACGTTGACATGACAATCTTCGCGTTCATTTATGACGAAGATCGAAAGCATATATTTTTCGAGGCTCGCGTAGTTTCACTTTTTCCCAGATTGTTCGGTTGCGAAACTAATAATTTGCAGAAATTCGAGAATACAAATTTTCGTCGTCTGAAACACAGCGATCAAATACATTCGGAATATCATTCCGAAGTTTCTGTTTCGTTGCCGATTGGCTAAGTTCTCGGTGACCGATTTCGCCGGTGTGTAATTTATCGTTGGTGAAACTTGACGTAAGGCGATCTTTGCTTTTTTTTCCTCTCTCTCTGTCTCTATAAAGCGTATCGTCCGCGCTACGATCTGGAAATTCAGGGCGTAATCGATGAACGAGTTTCTCGAACGGGTGCAGATGCCACCGTTAAAATAACGCACAACAATTCCCGTTTCGCAGGATTTCGTTAACTTCCGAACACGCTGACAGTTTCATCGAAATCCGTCAACGTTGCTGATTAATGATTTTTTAGCGAATCCTGGTCACCGATTACCATTAATTCGATTATTTTCTTGTTCATTAATCACCGTTACCGGGCTACTTAGTAATCGTTGATCATTATTCACGAACGTGATTTTCCGTTCGCTTTAATCGTTAATCATTAATCACGAATCATTGATCAAATTAGATTTCTCGCAACTCGGAAGCAAGAATAACGGGGAAACTGTGTACGTACACGGATATTAAGTAAGATCGATTTAAAAAATCGGGTAGCTTTAATTAACAAATTAATCATTAATGATGCATTTAGCAAACAAGTTTCTAAAATTGATCGAATCATTCGGAGCACTAACAGATGATTTCCATGGCTGCGCATCGCACAGTTCTGTTACAGAATAGGGTCGCTAAAAATAACTTTATTTTCAGCGTATTACACGAATTGCGCTCCTTAAAGGCACGCCAACTAACCTCAAACTCGAATACGTTCGAATACCCGAATATCGTTTTCGCGTGCGACGATTTAAAATCGCTGAGAAACAGCAAAATATTTATACCAGGAGTGATTTTCAATTACATTATAGTCGCATTGTCATTTGTAACTCAGATTTCCATTCTATTCAAAATTCCAGTGTAATTGCAATTGGTCAATTCAATCCAATTGGAGCACAATTACAAATTACCGAGTAATTGAATCACGTCAATTACGAATTGAAATATAATAAATTGCGGCTCGTTTATATAGTTGACGATTGTCAATAATTATCTCCTCTTTCTAAATTGTCCATTTTTGTGTGCAATCTCGGTGCGAATTAGGGAGACATTTCTGCACAATTCGAGCGTCAATTAGGGAGAATTCAGTGGACAATTTTGGATTACTCGAGCCTCGCAGCTCGTTTTAATAGTCGTTAACAATTCGTAACTATAAAAATGAACCGCAAGGATCGAATAATCGCATCTCCTCTTCCTTCAAGCTGAATAAATTGTCCATTACTGTGCACAATTCAAGCGTCAATTAGAGAGACATTACTGTAGTCGCAGCAACGTCGATGTAGGAAACGATAAATCATTTTGCAAACATTATGCACCCAAGTCTCGTGCATTCGTTCATTCATTAGAGGCCAATGGCCAAATACTAATATCAAATATCTCAAAAGTATGCAATTTCTCTGAGCCAATGTTCTTCGTTGATTTGAACAATCGACAGCAGCACCCACGAGTTACAGAATAATATTCTCCGGTCTTCGCGTCTGTTTGCCTAAACCAATCCCCTCCGCCGACCGCTCCGTTTCCTGCGAAACTGCCGCCGCCCTCTTAGAAGTCGCCGTTTTTGTTGCTCGATTTTGTCGAAACGTCGCGCGAGTAAAAAGACCAACGGGCAAGAAACGAGGCGGGATAAGCCGGAGAAGCTCGGATCTAAAAAGCCGACCTCGGAGCAACCGTTGTCTCCCGTTGTCTCTGTTTTTATTAGGCTCGGCCGGGAATCAATTCGGTTATCTAACCTCGCCGGCAATTGACCGCCGGAACGAGTGGCCTCTTTGAATTCGTAACGACGCCCCGGTCGCATTTATACCGACTTTATGCGCGAAAGAAAACGAAATCGAGGTCACGGTTTCGAACTTTCGGGGACGACGTTCGCGTCTCGTCCTCGAAGACTCGCCACGCTCGTCCCGTTTCGCTGGCACGGCTACGTTTAGCCGATTAATTAAGATTAATGTCGCGATTATTTATTTCACCGCCACACTTTCTGCTTTAACGCGCCGAGCCCCGCGGCGGCCGAACATGGGCGACACTAATTTTTGACCAATTCCGAAGGTTTATTTCCATTGTAATTTATTCGAACAAGCTGAATTCGATTAGGACGTTTCGCATGCGAAAGAGTTCTAACGTCGATCGCTATGATAAATCTTAACTTTCTAGTTTCTATTTGATTTTGGGTGCCCCAAAATTATGGTATCTCCGGGAAATGTGGGGTTCCTGAGATTATTCGAAGTATCTTCTCGTCGGAATATTCTCTCCAAACGAATCTCGTTTGCTAGCAGCGTTCTTCTAAAAGTTTCATCCGCGATTCGCGATAGCCGTGGCGACGGGTGGAAAGCCGGTCTTCTCTAAGCAAACACGTCGGCGGATCGCGCGCGAGCGACGACGACGATCACGAAGCATCGTCTCGCGAATCGGCGGGAAGATAACTTTCTACGTAGACTCGCGCTTACGTAAAGGATCCTCCGAAAGAGGGTCTTCTCTCTCGCCGGAAGACCTTCGACGTCCCGTTTAAAAAGAGAAGGAGAGAGAGAGAGAGAGAGAGAGAGAGAAAGAAAAATAAAAGAACACACGAAAGAAGAAAAAAAACGAAAAGAGAAGCGGTCGAAGAAATTTAAAAAGCTGCCGTGTTTCGATATCGAAAGTAAAAAGGAAACCGGCCGGCAATAATAGCCGTGCGGAATGAGTCAACCGGCTCGCGGTATCTAGCGGTAATCGTTCCTCACGACTTCCGAGACACCCTGTAGGCTACGGTCAGACGGGCGAGCGTGTTCGCGCGTGTACGTGTAAACGTTGCAGGCATATACTGCACCGAAAGCGGTTGACCCTGAGAGAGCCGGGCACAAAGGACTGATTCACCCCGGGGCCAGGAGGAGAGTGAGGTCCTCAGGAGGGAAGGAGCCTTCTTCTCGGCGTGTTCACCCGGGTCGGCTTCGCAGGATCCGTTTCTGCCTTCTGCGCCGTATGACATAATCCGCCGGGCAAACGACGCGCCAGAACTTTTACAGTAATGTCTCTCTAATCGACCCTCGGATTGTCCAGAAAAATGGACAATTTTGGAAGAGAAGATACGATCGTTCGAGTCGCAAGTCGTTCGAATAATCCTATCTCCTCCTCCCAAATTGTCCATTTCTGTGTACAGTAATGTCTTCCTTACTGACGTTCAGATTTTCCACTAAATTTGACGATTTGGGAAGAGGAGATACGACTGTTCGAGCCTCGCGGCTCGTTTTTATAATTATGGACAATTTATAACGAATAATTTGTGCGCAATCTGGGCGTCAATTAGAGAGACATTACTGTACAACCCGAGCGTCAGTAAGGGAGACATTACTGTACACTTCGCTTCGCCGGTTTTTCCGCGATTACCATCCGCCAACCGGCCGTCCACGATCGATGGTTTTAAATAACCCTTCAACCAATCTTCTCGCCGTCGATTCAACGACGGGTCCAGAAATTACGCGATCAAAGCCGCGGCGAATTCAACTCGGTTTTCCGAGCCGAATGCAAACGATCTCCGATCGCTTTCTACGGCGATTTCTTTCGCGTGTGGCAGGAAAACGTATTCCGACGCCACGCTGGGAATGTAAATATCACTCTTTTAATTAAGCAAATGATTTTACTTTCACGAGAACGCTGATTCTTTTGCTCGCTGAAATGCCTAGCGCAATTCTTTTCAATCGTCGCTCGGCTTTTGACAGCAAAAGATAGACAATTTGGGAAGAGAATTTTGTACAGCGAAGCGAAAATTTGTTTTCGAAGAAAAAATTTCCGAAAAGAAATCGGCGCATCCGTGTCTGAACAATAATCCAAGGAAAACTATTCGCGTCGAATCGAAAGCAGCAGTCGTTATTGCCGATTGTTCGGCGCGGCGTCCGCCGCGTCTAATCCCGATAGGAAAAATCAAATTATATAATCCTCGGCGAGCGTGTACGGGTCGGGGTCTTATGCGAGCGAATCCGTGCGAGCCGGGGCACACGCACGCGAAGAAACCGAGCGCGGCGCGGCGGGGCCCGTTTGTTGGCGCGAGCGCGCGCTGCCGGGCCCGTTGTTGGCGCGCTGCTGCAACGTCGAGGATCTCGACGAAGGAAACCGACTTAGGGTCTCCGCGGCGAGCGCACGATTATCCTCCGGCCAGAAAAGGCTCCGCAGTCGTCGTGGTCGTCGTCGTCGTCGTTAAAGGACATTCTGCAACCGCGTTCGCCCGTAATTTACGAGGTTCACCTCCTGAT